GACTACTTTGGATTCGACCTCACTTCGACCTTACGATCGTCCTCCGAGCACTGTTGCTCGGATTGCAAACGTACGGCCGGCTGTAAGCTCTTTGTTTGGACCAACTTTCATGGAGGCACGTGCTGGCTCAAGTACGCCAAGGGTCGAAAAACCTTTTTGGCCGGCGCCAAGGCCGCCCAAGTCTCGGCACCTACATGCAGTAAAGTCGCCGACAACGTCGATTACTACGGGAACGACATCAAGAGCACGTCGCAGGCGTCCGTGGATGGATGCTGTGCCGACTGCAAAGCGACCCCAGGCTGCAAGTTGTTTGTGTGGACCACGAGTCTCGGTGGCACGTGCTGGTTAAAACACACCCAAGGCGCGGCGTCCACGTTGCCAGGAGCCAAGTCGGGTGTGCTCGTTCCGTCGCCGCCGGGAGGATGCACTCCGCCCGAGTGGAATGTCGACTACTTGGGTGGGGACGTGGCCAGCACGCCGCGAGCGTCGTCGAGTTTGTGCTGCGACGACTGCCGCCGCACCCAAGCGTGCCGATTCTTCACGTGGACCGCGTACAACGGCGGGACGTGCTGGCTCAAGTCGACCAAAGCCAAGACCGTACAAGCCACGGGAGCCGTGTCCGGGTCGGTGCTCTAGACGTGCCATCGCTAGCAGCATGCATGCGCCGCGATCGATTTGTCGTAGCGAGTTGTAAGCAATCGAGCGTCGACATGCACGTCGAGCCACAATGCAATCGTTTTTTGGATCTTTAACCGTTTCGTGGGGGCCATCGCATCATTCCATGAAAATCTTTCGCGACATGGGGCGGCTGGACGACGTCGTCGTCATGGCCGTGCTCGCGTCGGCCGCCACGGCCAAGATTGCCGCTCGCGTGCACCGTGAACTCGTCGAAAGTGGTGTCGCCCACAATGTGGTGGTGAATTTTGTCCGACCGGCGCTGCCGTCGTCGATGTTCCTTGAAGGGCCGAGACGGTCCCGCGCCGGCCTCGTGCATCGACTCGAGACCGAGGCCAGCAAGTCCAAGCACGTGGTGGACACTGTCCTCGGGCCGCGAACGAACAAGTGCGACAGGTTTTTCTACATCGATAACACGTTCTTCCCGTGCGGCACGTTGACGACCAAGGAAATCCGAGCCCTGGCGGACCACCCGAACGTCCATTCGATCACGAAAGCGGGGGTTGCCCACGTCAACCCTGTCATGGTCTCGGCCGTAGTGTCGGGGGCCAACGTCACCGCGACAAACCAGTGGGGTGTGGACAAGATCCAAGCGGCCGCAGCATGGGCGAGCGGCCACACGGGCGCGGGCATCGTCGTCGCCAGCATCGACACGGGCGTTCGTGTCTCCCATGAAGCTGTCAACGGCAACTGGCGCACGAGCTTTGGCTGGTTCGATCCGCAAGGTGGCACGACGACGCCGACCGATTCAAACGGCCATGGCACGCATGTGATGGGCACGATCGCCGGGCAAACCATCGGCGTGGGGGTCGCCCCCGGGGCAACATGGATTGCATGTTTGGGATGCCCCAACTCGAGCTGTCCGCAAGCGACATTGACCGCGTGCGCGCAGTGGCTGCTGTGCCCGACCGATGCAGTCGGCAACAAGGACTGCACGAAGGCGCCGCACGTGATCAACAACTCGTGGGGGTCGACCGATGGCACCGCGACGTGGTTTGAGCCATCGATTGCAGCATGGCGTGCCGCTGGGATCATTCCGGTTTTCTCCAACGGCAACAGCGGCAGTGCGTGTGGAACAGTGGGCAGTCCTGGCATGTCCCCACAAGTTATCGGAGTTGGTGCAACCGACGCGAGCGACGTCCTGGCGTCGTTCAGCTCGCGCGGGCCCACATACGACAACCGGGTCAAGCCCGACGTGTCCGCGCCGGGAGTCAATATCGTTTCTTCGTACTTTTCCAGCGACACCACGTACGCATACATGTCTGGAACGTCGATGGCTGCCCCCCATGTGACCGGTGCCATTGCGTTGTACCTGTCGGCCAACCCGACCGCCACGTTTGCCAACGTGCAGTCGGCGCTCGCCCTGTCGGTGGACACACCTGGCCTAGCTGTTCAAAATCAAAACTGTGGTGGCGTCTCCGACGCAACGTACCCCAACAATAACTACGGGTACGGACGGCTTAACATCGATCGAGCGATAAGAACACCTGCCCTCACACCCGCTCCAACCCCTGCTCCAACACCTGCTCCAACTTCTGCTCCAACTCCTGTCCCCACACCCGCTCCAACCCCAGCTCCAACCCCTGCTCCAACCCCAGCTCCAACACCTGCCCCCACACCTGCCCCCACACCTGCTCCAACCCCTGCTCCAAC